TTGGGTAGTCCTAAAAATACACATAATTACATGATTAAGATACTCATTTAAAACTTTTGCCAAGATCGCACCTCCCTTCAAAACAAACGATTGACTCACTGCTTTATTTTACTTAATTTTGGAAATAAAAAAAAACTAAACACGCCGAAACCGGTTTGGCTCAGTGGATAGAGCGTCGGCCTGCGGACTGAAAGGTCCCAGGTTCGATTCCGGTCAGGGGCATGTGCGGGGCACATCCCCAGTAGGAGATGTGCAGGAGGCAGCTGATCGATGTTTCTCTCTCATTGATGTTTCTGACTATCTCTCTCCCTTCCTCTCTGTAAAAAAATCAATAAAATATATATTTAAAAAAAAAACAACACTAAACAGATTCCTAACACACTCATTTCCCTCGATCTCTGTACCCACCCTTATAAACGTTCAACCTTCAATTTGTGATTCGTCCCTTCAAAAATATTAAGAAATTCAACAAAATAGAAAAACCACCACCTCAGTATTTCCAAGTTATCTACCACGGAATTAAAAACAACAACAACAAAACAGCAGATTCAAGAACGTCCTAAAGTCCTAGGAAACAATGTGCATGGGTCACTATCTGCTCCACGAAACCGGCTCACCTGCGATGACACCTGCAATGCGTGAGACCACCCCTTTGCTAGTGAGTTAGCCACCTGAGCGAAAGGTTCCAATTTCGTCTCCCTAAAGTGGGAAACGCTCAGTCTCCCCACATTAAGGTCCACCCTCCGCGAGTATGTCTGCACGTAGGAACAAAACAACAACAACAACAAGCCTGTGAAGTTGGGGGCAGGGTGAGGACAAAGGGCATTTGGAAACACCACAGAAGTAAAGAGAGAATGAGGACAAAGGGGGGCTAAACCCAAGTTCCTTCAAGTGGATGAAGGCGAGAGAGAAAAAGAGCAGCGACCCTTGTTTACCACCCCATTCTCCACTGCCGCCCACTGGAATGCAAAGTTGGAACCGCACTCGGCCGAAGCCCATCCAACCCTCCAAATGTCAGGTCACCGGGCTGCCCCGGGCATGACAGGCTGCTCCCCCTCCCCCTCCCGCACCCCCCAAAAAGAAAGGTCCAATCCACTAAGTGCAGGTCACTCTGCCCTCTGGGGCAGTTCCAGCCGGCGCGAGGATGGTTCTGATGGGAGGACGAGAGGGGACACAGACAAACCACCTTTCTCCCAACCCCCCCTCAGCTGAAGACACAAACCAAAACAAAGACAGCCCCCCTCCTCCCCGGGTCGCCACTGCCCCAGCCCGAGAGGCTCCCCCAATTCCCGGTGCAGTCGGGCCTCCCGCCCCCACCCCCAGGACAAAGAAAAGGCACTGGGTGAGCCAGGCCTTCCTGCCTCCACCGGTGGGGGGAGGGGGCTGCCGAGGTGAGGAGCCCCCCGCCTCCCCACCCCCGCACTCTCCCTCTGGGCCCCGAAAGCGGCCGAAAGCGGCGGGGAGCGGAGGGCTCCGCGGGGGACGCCGAGTCTGGGCAGGGCGGGGAGTACCTTGAAGTAGCCGCCTTCGTAGAGGGTGTTGGGGGGTCCGAAGATGGCAACCTCCCAGTTGTAGAGGTCGGACTCGTCCACCAGGGTGATCCGGAAGCCCTCCACCGGCTCCTCCTGCAGGGACTTCAGCTCCAGCATCAGGGCCTTCTGCGAGCTGGTCATCTGCTGCTGGGCCATCGCGGCGGCGGCGGCGGCGCCGGGCCGGGGCCCCAGTCCTCACGCACCGGCCGAGCCGGACCAGGCCCCTCCCCTCGGCTCGCCCTCGGGCCGGGCCGCACCGGGCCCCGGTCTTCACACACCCGGCGGGCCGGACCAGGCCCCAGACGGCCCGTGGGCCGGCCCGGGTGCTCCTCACACACGACGCGGGCCGGGCCGGGCCGGGCCGGGCCCTTCTCCTCACACGGGGGCCAGGTGCGGAGAGAGGGTGAAGGAGTTAGGGGAATTCACTCCCGGTCCCGGTCCTCCCCCCCCCGGAGGGGGCCTCAACTTAGGGGGGGAGAGGAGAAAAGGTGGAAGCGGAGAAAGGCGGCGGAGGGCCGGCGATGGTGAGGAGAGGGGGCCAGGCCGGCCCGGGAGCGCCGCGCTCGCTCGCTCGCTCGCCCTCTCGTTCTTCTCTGGGGCCGCCGCGGCCGCCGGGGCCGGAGGGCGCGCGGGGCCGAAGGGCGGGGGGAGCGCGGCGCGCGGGGGTCTCGCGGCGGCGGCGGCGGCGTGGGGGGAGGGGCGGCGGCGGCGGCGGCGGCGGAGGAGGAGGAGGAGAGAGCGCCTCGCGCCACGGGAGCGACGGAGCCGAGAGGGAGGAGGGAGGGGGAGAGGGAGGAGGGGCGCGCGCCGGGAGGGGGAGGCTCTCAGCGAGTGGCGACCAGACGCGCGTGCGCGTGCGCGCGCCCCTCCCTCCTCCACCCTCCGGGTCGCGGTCCTCCTCCCCCTCCTCCTCCTCCTCCCACTTCCCCGCCTCCTCTCGGCCGCCCGGCGCGGTGGCGGCGCTTTGTGACGCCCGCGCCGGTCCCCCGCCCGTAAAGAGCAGGCGGTTGTGGGGCCGAGGGTGGCCTCCGGCGATGCGCTGTGCTCCAAAACGATGGCTGTGCGGCTCAACACCCTGGTTCCCAAGGCGCGCCGAGGAAGGAACCCCGGTCCCGGAGCCCCGGCACCCTCCCCCTGTGTGTATCCACAGGCCTCCCGAGCCCTCCTGGCAGGAGACCCGGTTCTCTGCAGGCCCCGCCCCGACATCTCTCCTGCAGGTTCATCCCTCACCCCAGTGTGTACTTGGGGGGCAGTGTGCCACCCAATTGTGGGGGTGAGTGGGGCCAGTTTCTGTTGAGAAGTGGGGAAGGCGGATGCGCTAGCCTCTACTTCCCTAAACGACAAAGAGGAAGCTGTGGGCGGGCAATAGAGGACTAATGACATTGCACCTGGGCTCCTAGCTCTTCTCTGGAGAGGATTAATGAAGTGGACGGAACTCGGGTCCCTACGCCTTCCTGATTTGGGGCCAGTGCTCTGGGTGTGCCTCAGTTTACCCATTTGTAACATGAAGTACTGTGGGTGAACTTGGACACCCGACAGATCCTTTCAGCTGGAGGGTCCCACCTGGAATTGAGAGACTTTTAAAGTAATCATGACCAAAGTGAGATCTAGAGAGTCTTCAATCCCCGTGATTTTTTAAAAAATCTTTATTGCTGCCGAAACCGGTTTGGTTCAGTGAATAGAGCGTCGGCTTGCGGACTGAAAGGTCCCAGGTTCGATTCCGGTCAAGGGCATGTACCTGGGCTGCGGGCACATCCCCAGTAGGAGATGTGCAGGAGGCAGCTGATCGATGTTTCTAACTCTCTATCTCTCTCCCTTCCTCTCTGTAAAATATCAATAAAATATATTTTAAAAAAAATCTTTATTGCTGAAAGTCATTCCCCATGATTTAGATAGAATACTCTTTTCTCTTAAGAAGGCATGTACTTTGATAACATTTCCTGAAAAGCCAGGATACTGTGAGAGTGCCAAACACTTAGAATTTGGGGATCAGAAAGATCCTTGGTTCCAACACTGGCTCCACCATTTACATTATATTACCTCTTTCTTTTTCATCAGCTTCTGTAAAAGAGGCTTAATGATACCTAACATAAGAATTGTAAAGATTAGATGAGATCATTTATAGTCAAGGTTTAGTGCAATGACTGGTGCATGGTAAGTGATCCATAAACAGGAACTTTAAAGAAAGAAAAAACAATGTAAAGGCATAGCTGTATTCTGGATACAACCCCCTCCATTATTTAATAACCTTCTTTTTACAACAGTTTTAGATTATAGAAAAGTTGAGATAGTACTGAGAGTTCCCATATTTTTCCATGGGCACCCAATTTCCCCTATAATTAACAGCTTACATTAGTGTAATACATGTATTACAATTGATGAATCTATTGATATTATTATTAACTAAAGTCTTTTCTCATATTTCCTTAGTTTTTATCTAATGTCCTTTTTCTGTTTCAAGATCTCATCCTGTACACCCCACATTATATATAGTTATCATGTTTTGTTACATTCCTCTTGACTGTGATAGTTTCTAAGACTTTACTTGTTTCTGTATGACCTTGACAGTTTTGATGCATACTAGTTAAGTATGTCATAGAATGTCCCTCAGTTAGGATATGTGATGTTTTTCTCATGATTAAAGATGGGTTATGTGGCTTTGGAGTAGGGGGGAAGTGGGGATCACAGAGGTAAAATGATAGTATTTTCATCACCTCATGTCAAGGGCACATAATATAATATCAACATGATTTATCAGTGTCGATATTGTGCTCTTTATTTTAGTTTTAATATATTTTGATTTTTTTTTTTTTACAGGGAGGAAGGGAGAGGGATAGAGAGAAACATTGATCAGAGAGAAACATTGATCAGCTACCTCCTGCACGCCCCCTACTGGGGATGTGCCTGCAACCAAGGTACATGCCCTTGACTGGAATCGAACCTGGGACCCTTTAGTCCGAAGGCCAACGCTCTATCTACTGAGCCAAACTGGTTAGGGCAGCCGTGGGCAAACTACGGCCCGCGGGCCGGATCCGGCCCTTTTGAAATGAATAAAACTAAAAAAAAAAAAAAAAGACCGTACCCTTTTATTTAATGATGTTTACTTTGAATTTATATTAGTTCACACAAACACTCCATCCATGCTTTTGTTCTGGCCCTCCGGTCCAGTTTAAGAACCCATTGTGGCCCTCCAGTCAAAAAGTTTGCCCACCCCTGGGTTAGGGCGATATTGTACTCTTTAGAAGAAAGTCACTGTGCACAATCCACACTAAAGGAGCCTCTTTATTTTTTTATTTTTTCTCCAAGATGAGGTCTCAGTATTTTAAAGAATCATTCCTTAGCTCCTAACTCTACTCTGTTGGTCTGGAAGCCAAACTCCACTGGAATTGGAGCTCACTTCAGAGGAGGGGAAGTGTTTGAGGCAATGCAGCCACTCCTCCCAAATTGATGGTGCATGACTGGTTGGTTCTAGCTTCCTCTCCTCCACCACTCAATTCAGGGACAAGAAGATTGCTGACCTGGAAATGTGGAGATGATGTTGACACCTTTAATAACAAGACTATGAGTAGACACATAGGCAGAAAGTTCATCTTCAAAGCATTGCACCCACATAAATTCATCATAGCCCCACCCTGACCCAGAAGATGGTAGATCCTTAGTAATTCGCTGGAAAAACACAGCTGGCATCCGGACCAGAAGCTACTCAGATTAACTCACAAACTCATGCTAAATATCGTAGTAGCCATGGCTGTAAGCTGGATGACTAATAAACATACACCTGTCTGAGAGGCCCACAGTCCAGTGTGTTAATGAGTTGTATACTTAAGGTTCTCCATTCGCAGGTCAGGAACTAAAATTCCACCGAACTTGCCTCATGTCTTTAATCCTAGCTGGTAAGACATTGTTTATGAGTAGGTTGAAACTGTGTTATTCATCCCTGGATCCTCAGCAACCAGCACACTATCTGACACAAAGCAGACCCTAGGTAATTGTTCTCATGGGCTCAGAACCAAGGGTAGGAAGACAATCATTAATTGACTACAACAACAAATCACAAATTGAACCCCAGCCTCAACTTCCATGTCTAGAAGGATCTCTCAGACACATAGTAGGTGCTCAAGATTATAAACTCTATAAGGATGACAGGTCTTGCTCATAACCATATACAATCTCCTACAATGTTTGGCAAATAATAGGTACTCAAAAAGATTTGTCAAAAGAATGAATGGCTGCCCCGGCTGGTGTGGCTCAATGGTTAAGCCTTGCCCTATGAACCAGGAGGTCACTGTTTGATTCCCAATCAGGGCACATGCCCCGGGGGTTGCAGGCTCGATCCCCAGTAGGGCGTGTGCAGGAGGCAGCCAATCAATGATTCTCTCTCATCCTTGATGTTTCTATCCCTCTCCCTCTCTGAAATCAATAAAAATATATTTTAAAAATATATATACTAGGTGTACCGGTTAATAATGCGGATTTTTTTCACTAGATGGGAGTTACACATATGTTGATATATATGCAATTTGATATGTATGCTATTTCGTTGTATTGACAGCAAGCTTCTAAACTTCCCCGCTAATGCTCTTTTTTTGGCACGAAATTCAACATTTTTAAGTGTAAAAATATCTATGATGTTAACACCTTCAGAAAATTTGACATGAAGTTTTGAAGCTTGCTGTCAGTACAACAAAATAGCATACATATCAAATCGCATATATATCAACATATGTGTAACTCCATCTATTGAAAAAAATCCACATTATTAACTGGTACACCTAATACAGCCCTAGCCGGTTTGGCTCAGTGGATAAAGTGTCAGTCTGCAGACTGAAGGGTCCCAGGTTCGATTCCAGCCAAGGGCACATGCCCGGGTTGTGGGCTCAATCCCCAGCAGGGGGCAGCCGATCAACGATTCCCTCATCATGTTTCTGTCTCTCCCTCTCCTTTCCTCTCTGAGATCAATAAAGATATATTTTTTAAAATAAATAAATAAATAAATATTAAAAATGAATGAATGAATGGCAGTCCTGACCAGTGTGGCTCAGTTGATTGGAGGGTTCTCCCGTGCACCAAAGTATCCCAGGTTCAAAGGTTTGATTCCTGGTATGTGCCCTTGGCGGCAACCAATTGATGTTTCTCTCTCACATCGATGTTTCTCTTTCCCTCCCTCTCTATATAAAATGAATTTTTTTAAAAAGAATGAATGGCAGAAACAGCTTACTAGTGCTTTCTCATATTGTTTCATGACAAGTAGAGATTGATTTGACTTATTTGATGCCCTCTAGTGGTGGAAAAAAACAGGATATTTACCCTCAGTCTCTGTGGCATCACCTGGTACAACCAGGGCTCTACTGAAGAATCAATTACCTCTCTTGCACAAAGAAAAGACATGGAAATCAATCTTGGTAAGATAAATAAAAGGGAGGAGTACTTGCTTTAGAAAAGTTAATTCTGACCTTAGGGGGCCAAGATTGTTTTCGTTCTGCATATCTTAACGCATGTAAGTCTTGGGTAGTGCTCTTAAGGAACAATTTTCCTTTAATAATAATAGCTAACATTTGCTGTGCATCAGTATGTGACAGGCAGACAGTATTCTACTTAATTCTCACTAAAAAAAAATCCATGACATGGTCATTACTAGAATATCTATCTAACTGTTTAATAAGGCTTAGAGAGGTTAGGAAAGTCACCCAATGGCCCTGGCAGGTGTGGCTCAGTTGGTTGCAGAAGCATCTTGTGTACCAAAAAGTGGTTGGTTTGATTCCCCATCAGGGCATAAGCCTGAGTTGCCCAGTGCATGTGAGAAGCAACCAATTGCTGTCTCTCCCTCCCTCCCTCTCTCTAAGATCAATAATAAAAATATATATATATTTTAAAGTCACCCAATGAATAAATGGCAGAACCTGGAGTTGAACCTTGGCCATCCCACTTTAGTGTGACTGTTTCTAACCACTATGCCATAATGTTCCTAATCTAACATGCCCACAGCAACTGTGCATATTATTACTCCAACGCTATATTGCAATTATTTGTTTACGTCTTTCTCCCAACCTCCGAGTTACTCTTAGGAAAGAGCCATTCATTCACTCAACAAATATGTATTGAATGTATGCTCTGTGACAGGTCCTGTGCTAAATTCCAAGGATACAGTAGTGAATGAGACAGAAATTATTACACCCTGCCCTCACGGAGCTTACATTTTAGTGCAGTGGTCGGCAAACTCGTTAGTCAGCAGAGCCAAATATCAACAGTACGACGATTGAAATTTCTTTTGAGAGCCAAATTTTTTAAACTAAAACTATATAGGTAGGTACATTGTTATTAACTTAATTAGGGTACTCCTAAGGCTTAGGAAGAGCCACACTCAAGGGGCCAAAGAGCCACATGTGGCTCATGAGCTGCAGTTTGCTGACCACGGTTCTAGCGGATGTAAGACAAAACAGGTAATAAGTAAACAATATCATTGCAAATTTTGGTTAACACTAATAAAGGTGATTAAGAAAATCAAGACTAAAAATGTTGAGGTGAATGCAACTTTATTTTTTAAATCCTCATGCAAAAAGATGTTTTATTGATTTTAGAGAGAGAGGAGGGAGGGAGAAGCATTGATGTGAGAGAGAAACATTGATTGGAGTCTCACATACATGCCCTGACCGGGGATCAAACCAAAATCCTAGGTATGTGTCCCAACTGGGAATATAACATGAAACCTTTTGTTGTATGGGATGATGCTCCAATCAACCGAGCCACCCAACCAGGGCAGGGGTTGATGCAATTTTAAATGGAGGCAGGGCAGGGACAGAAGAAATCTCTATGACATTACATTTAAATGAGTAGAGGAACCAACCTGCAAAATGTGAGGGCAAGAGTAGCATTCTAGTTTCTGGCTTGTGATCGTCATGTCTTATTCATCTTTTACACTGAGCACAGGATTTGCCATTTCTTAAATGTCATCCAATGTGGAATGAGTGATCAACTAATTTCTTATCTCTTTGGTCTTCCTCAGACTTGAGCAGTGCTGCTTCATCCTCTCAATTCAAAACTGAAATCATGCTTCAAGACTTAGCACAAACCCATCTCCTCCAGGAAACCTTCCTTGACAATCAAAGCATTCTTCAGCCATAAAGAAGGACGTCTTGCCATATGTGACAACATGGATGAACATTAAGGGCATTAGGCAAGTGAAGTAAGTCAGAGAAAAAAAATATAAATACTGTATGATCTCACTTATGTGTGGAATCTCAAAACACCAAGCTCATGAAAGCACAGGGTAGACTGGTGATTGCCAGGGGCTGTGGAATGGGGGAAATGAGATGCTGTTAGTTAAAAGGTACAAATTTCCAGTTATAAGAGGAATGAATTCTGGGGCTCTGATGTACAGCATGATGACAGTAGTTAACAATACTGTATTGTATGCTCGAAAGTTTCTAAGGGGGTAAATCTTAAATGTTCTCACCACCACTACCACCACCATCACAACAAACGGTTGTTATGTTAAATGTCTTAACTAACCTTACTGTGGTAATCGTTTTGCAATACGTAACAAATCATCACATTATACAGCTTAAACTTAAGCAATGCTATCTATCAATGATAGCTCAATAACGCTGGGGGGAAAACAACCAAAACCTTCTGAGCAAAGAAGACAGCAACTTCCAAGGTCCAGGACAAGAGGGCAAGATAGAGTCGGGAAACTCCAAGTAGTTCAATATGGCTGGGCACAAATTTGATGGAGACAATGGTAAGAGACAAAACTAAAAGATGGACATTCATTCATTCACTTGACATTTATTGAGCATTTACAGTGTTGCTAGACCCTGGGCATATAGACCTGGTCCTTGTTTTCATGGACTCAAAGTCAAGAGCAAAGAGGTAGATAATTGATAAACAATCAAACATTGTTTTTAGCCGGCCCAGTGTGGTTCAGTGGTTGATCGTAGGTCTAGGAACCAGAAGGTCACGGTTCAAGGTTCAATTCCCAGTCAGGACACATGGTGGCGGTGCAAGCTCGATCCCCAAACCCCAGTATGGGGCATGCAGGAGGCAGCCGATCAATGATTCTCTCTCATCATTGGTGTTTCTCGCTCTCTCCCTTCCTCTCTGAAATCAATAAAAATATATTTAAAATAAACAAATGAAACTTGTCTTATATTCTTAAAAAATGTTGTTATAATAGGCCAAAAAGGGGTGAGATCAGAAAATGTTCTGGATTGAGAGAAAAGAAATATAACTAAATTAATGCATGATCTTGCACCAGGAAATAAACTGGTAGTATACAAAAGATGTTGAGATAATTGGCAGAATTTGAGCATGAACTTTCTATCACAGTATTGAATCAAGGTTAAACTTTATCATTGGACTATGATTACATGGGCGTTCATTCTATACCTATTGCAACGTTTCAGTACATTTGGAAAATGTAATAAACTGGAGAAAAGTTATTACAATAAACTAGGGACAAAATGATGTAACTCAGACTAAACTTGGTAGTAAAAACAGAGAACGAATAAATCCAAGATATATTTTGGAGGCAGAACTGACAAGACCGGTTAATTACTAAGATGTGGTAGATGAAGAAAAGGGAAAGAATCACCGATGTAAATAAAACACTCCTGAGAGGGCGCCCATTAGCTCCGCCCTTGTCCTTTTGACCCAAGCGGAGGAAGTGAGAAAAGGGAGGCGGCCGCCGACTACCGGCAAGCTTCCTGCCTGGTGTCGCAAAGAGACCGTAAAGCAAATCCGTTTGGCCCCTCCCCCACAGTGGGCGGTCCTGAAGAGTGACAGGAACCAATGGCGAGCAAGCCTTCGGGGCACTGGTCCAATGGCTCTGGAGCTGGGCGGAGTCCTGCGACACGAGGCTCGTCGGCGTTCTCTGGGGCTCCCCTGGCGAAGTCTCTTGGGGTGCCCCAGCAGGTCCTTTGGAGTGTACAGGAGGTCTGCTGAGGGGGTTCCGCTTCCGCGGAGGGGCTCCGGCAGTTCTGTCGCAGTGGGAAGAAGTTGTACCGCCGGCTTTGAACCCGACCAGCGGGAGCCGGACGGCCCGGAGGGATGGGGCCAGCGCCTGCGGGAGCACAGCCTCGCGGAGATGCCGGCGACTCCGAGGTGGGTGAGCTATCTGGGAGGAAGGGGTGCTCCACGTGGTGGAGGTGGCAAAGCCTGACTGCTTGCCAGCCAGGAGCACGAGTGCGGGCCCCTCTGGAGCAGCTCCCTTCGCCCGATGCTTCCAGCCGGGCACATGGTGGCGCGCCTGGAGCGCTTTTACGCGGGAGGCTCTCCCGCGTGTGAATCTGTGAATGGGGGGCGCGGTCCAGGGCTCCCTCCAGGGAAGAAGGTTTGGGATCCCGCTGACCAAGATCTGAACTCTGCTCACAGTGTAGGCATACCAACTGTGGAACCTCGAGCTCACGGGACTTCAAGGGCTCGTTTTCTTCCAGGATTATTGTGAGGATGGGGTGACTTACGGAGTATATTCGCCAGAGCCTGTAAGTTCTAGCTCTTTCCATCATTAATTAGGCACTAATGTATACAGTGCTAATCAGGGTTAGTCAGGGCTTGCTAGGGGAGATGGAACCTGGCAGGATTTGAATAGAGGAAGCGTGGGGATGGCATTTGCAAAGTCCCAGGACTGATCCAGCAGAATTAGAAGCACCCTGATGCATGATACCTGGAAATACAAGGAACTCGGGCTTTGCTTAGGGTAGGACCCAGTCAGCTACTACCCCTACCAGTGCTCCTTGCTTGTGTGTCAGGTAGACAGGGAACCCTCAACACAAGGCGTTCTCAATCTAGAGCTCAATAATGTTCTTCTAAGGCAGTGGTTCTCAACCTTGGCGGCACATTAGAATCACGTGGGAATCTTTTTAAAATCCTGATTTCTGGGCCTCATCTTCCGGAAATTCTGTTTCTTTGTTACTAATGTTATGCGCTCCCCCCCCCCCCCCCCCAGAAACAGAATTTCTGGAGGATGAGGCCCAGAAATCAGGATTTTAAAAAGATTCCCACGTGATTCTAAAGTGCAGCCAAGGCTGAGAACCACTGTTCTAAGGAATGATTACCCTGAGTGTTCCACAATCTGACTCCCATTCAAAAGAGGGAGCAGATGCAAGTAAAGCTTTTACCCACATCCTATCAGGTGGTGCTTCAGGCAGTGAATGAACGTTAAACATCTGTGACCTCACACTGGTTTCTCCCTCTCACTGGGCACAGATGATGGAGCCAACTCTGGAAGGCACAGTCAAGGAGGGGAAGAAGGAATTTTCAAAGAAGCATCCAGTGGCTGGGTCTCCAGTGGAGGGTCTCCTGCAGCCAGTGAAGCTTAGCCGGGCAGAACTGTACAAGGAACCTACCAGTGAGGAGCTGAATCGCCTTCGGGAAACTGAGAGCCTGTTCCACTCCAGCTTGCTTCGTTTACAGGTACTGTGCGAGGCTGGGGCTTAGCTCAGAGGGGCAGACCTGAGTTCCTGAGGATAAAGGACTCTCCCTCGCCCCATCCTACAGGTAGAGGAGCTACTGAAGGAAGTGAGGCTGTCAGAGAAGAAGAAGGAGCGGATTGATGCTTTCCTACGGGATGTCAACCAGCGGATCATGAGGGTGCCCTCAACCCCTGAGACAGAGGCAAGACTGGTGGTATAGGGCAGTGGAAAGCCCAGAGGAGATCCTTAGTGGGAGCATCTGAAACAGGGGCCTTGCTATTCTCTGGAGAGGTTAGGGTGCTCGGAAGTTTATTCTTGTTGCCAGGAAGCGACACTGGGAGTGTGATTAGTCACATGTTCATTCATTTAGCAGATGTTTATGTGCCTTGCAGTAGTTGTGTTCTTAGGCTGCCTCTGAACAAAGCAGCCTGTTTTAGTGTTGGGGTTATGGACAATAGATAATAAGCATGACAAGTAAACTACATGTTATATTAGAAGGTAGTAAGCACTATGAAAAAAAAGAAAAAGTAGGTCGAAGTAAGGGGATTATGGGAATATCAGAGGATGGGAGTGGTTTATGATTTTTTTCAATTAAAAAAAAATTTTTTTGAAGAGAGGAAGGGAGAGGGAGACAGAAACATTGTTGAGTGAGAAACATCAATCAGCTGCCTCCTCACAGCCCCCACCAGGGATTGAGCCCACAATCTGGGCATGTGCCCTGACCGGGAATCGAACCTCAACCTCCTGGTTCATAGTGATGCTCAACCATTGAGCTGCACTGGCTGGGCACCATTTAGATATTTATAACATCATTTTCAGGCCATACAAAATTATCAACTTAAAAATTAGCCTGCTATATTTGGTCAAACATTTATTTAAAAAAAAAATTTTTATCAGAGGGAAAGAGAGAGATTGAAACATCAATGATGAGAGAGAATCATTGATCCACTGCCTCCTGCACACTCCCCACTGGGTATGTGCCCGCAACCAAGGTACATGCCCTTGACTGGAATCGAACCTGGGACCCTTGAGTCCGCAGGCAGACGCTCTATCCACTGAGCCAAACTGGTCAGGGCAATAAATACATATTTTAAAAATACATAAATAAAATTATTTAAAAAGTAGAACAGAGTGGGACATAGGTGAAGTCAGGGAAAGTGGTTAGGAACCTCTTATGCAGTGATCACTGAAAAATGATGGTTTAGAGATGTGGTCATGTCTGGATGTCTTTTGAAAGCGAAGTGGGAATTCTTAACAGATGAGTATGGTGATATAAAGGTTTTTGGCCTGAGCACCTAGTATGGAATTGCCATAATGGGGAAGATGTGTTTACAAGAATATCAGGCCAAAACCAGTTTGGCTCAGTGGATAGAGCGTCGGCCTGCGGACTGAGAGGTCCCGGGTTCGATTCCGGTCAGGGGCATGTGCCTGGGTTGCGGGCACATCCCCAGTGGGAGATGTGCAGGAGGCAGCTGATCGATGATTCTCTCTCATCGATGTTTCTAACTCTCTATCTCTCTCCCTTCCTCTCTGTAAAAAATCAATAAAAAATATATTTAAAAAAAAAAAAAAAAGAATATCAGGAGTTTGGTTTCAAACATGTTGACATTTTGTATTTGAGAGATGTACTAGACATCCAGGGGACGTGTTCAGAAAGGCAGTCAAATCAATATGTATCACTGTCTCTGTCCCCATAGCTGACTGACCAGGCATGGCTCCCAGCTGGAGTTCGAGTGCCTCTCCACCAGGTGCCCTATACTGTGAAGGGCTGTTTCCGCTTCCTGCCCCCAGCCCAGGTCACTGTTGTGGGCAGCTACCTTTTGGGCACCTGCATCCGGCCGGACATCAACGTGGATGTAGCACTGACCATGCCCAAGGTGAGGTCCAGAGTTCAGGGATGGAATGGCCTGCTACTGTACTACTTACAAATCCCAGAGTCCCTCCCTTTTTCCCACCTGTTGCTTGCCAGTGGATTGAAATCTGAATTCTGAATCAAAAGAATAGATCACTGCAGTTATCTTTAGAAGGCTACTCAGATGAGCCCTTAGGCCATTTGCTGTCCTTTTACACCTTTGCAAACTGAGTCTGGTGTTGCTGGCCCTGCCTCGAGCATTCTGGCCAGTAGAGAATTCCTGGAGTTGCTAAGCTATAACTCACTATAACTCTCACCTTGGCTTCATCTGGACCCCCAAACTCTTGAACAGTAAGTACTTAAAGTACATGGCCATCTCTCTTTTCTTGATCCCCTTCAGGAGATCCTACAGGATAAGGATGGGCTGAACCAGCGCTACTTCCGCAAGCGTGCTCTCTACCTGGCCCACTTGGCTCACCACCTGGCCCAAGACCCCCTCTTTGGCAGTGTTCGCTTCTCCTACACCAATGGCTGCCACCTGAAACCCTTGCTGCTGCTGCGGCCTCATGGTGGGGGCCGGGGTGGGGGGCGGCACACACTGGGCCTAGGGCACAGGATGGGGTGATAAATCCAGTGGGGGAAGCACAGGGCCCTTAGGCCCAAAGTGAGAGGCTTGGGCCTCAAGTTTGAAGAGGAAGGTATAGAGATCTCAAATTCTGAGGTGGGCGTGCATGGGGCCCTCAGGTAGGTACAGGGGTCCCTCTGGCTCCAGGGGCTGTAGGGTCTCAGCACCCTCTGTCCCCTCCCAGGGAAGGATGAGCACCTGGTCACTGTACGTCTCCATCCGTGCCCTCCACCTGACTTCTTCCGCCCGTGCCGCCTGCTGCCCTCCAAGAACAATGTGCGCTCTGCCTGGTACCGCGGGCAGAGTCCTCCAGGCGATGGTGAGCAGGCACTGGTGTCAAGGTGGAGCTGGAGGGAAGGGTGTTGTGAGAACTTTTCTCATGGCTTTTCCTTTTGTACCACAGGTAGTCCAGAGCCTCCCACCCCCCACTATAACACATGGGTCCTGCAGGACACAGCCCTCCAGTCCCATGTGCAGTTGCTGTCAACTGTGTTGGGCTCAGCCTTGGGGCTGAAGGATGGTGTGGCCCTTCTGAAGGTCTGGCTGCGGCAGCGAGACCTGGATAAAGTGAGTTGGGAATGGCTCAGTTTCCCTGCCTTGCTGAGTGGTGGGCTGGCTCTGAGCATGGGCCTCTCTCTCCGTCGTCTTTTCAGGGCCTGGGAGGATTTAGTGGGTTCCTTGTCTCCATGCTGGTTGCCTTCCTCGTGTCCATACGCAAGATCCACACTACCATGAGCGGCTACCAGGTCCTGA